CATTAAGTATCATTATTCGAAAATACGTTAGAGAGTAGCGTTGGTTAAATTTGGATAACCCATGAACACGATCGAAACGAAATACGTGGGAATGTAGTAGTGAAACAAATGTCAGTCGATTTTTCGCGGGGTTTGGTACAAATAAATAGGGAATTTATTTGTTGTGTTCGAGGGAATAGGGCAAATTACGTTCGTTCATTCATTCGTTCATTCGTTCGTTCATTCGTTCGTTCGTAAACGCGCGTGCGTACACGCCTCCTACTCACAATTTATCGAATCCAGATATATTTCGCGCGTTAACAACGCTCAAACGTCAACGGAATACTGTAAACTCGCTAAAAGCGACGTAAATAACTGCGTATGCAAATGGAAGTATGTAATTAAAACGTATAAATCAAGAGAGAGTGAGTGAGGGAGAGAGAGAAAGTGAAAAAGAGAAAAATATGAGTGGGAGAGAGAGAGAGAGAGAGAGGTTCGTCCGTGGTTAAGCAAATATAATGAATAAATAAAATCGTACGTTAATGAAAGACGAAAGTGCGTGTGTGTATGTGTGTGTGTGTGTATTAAACAGGAATTTGTTAAATTTTTCAAAAAGAAATGATGTGTTTTTTTTCCCACATATACTCGATGTAACATTTAATTTTAATCGTTAATTTTTAAAATGGTATTAACCCACCGACGACAAAAAAAGATAGAAGAAAAAAGAAATACGCAGAAGGATTCGTAGGCAAAATTTTGTTCGCGGATTTGTTATCTCGCGTGTTATAAAAATAATAGAAAAGAAAAAAGAAAAAAAAGAAAAAAAAAAAAGAAGTAATAACTTTTGAAATCAAATCAAATATGTTGTTTGCATTTAGAAATACGAATTTTATTTGATATCGAGTAATAATTCATTTATTTCATATAAAATCATTAAATATATATGTGTGTGTGTGTGTATTGATATACGCGTTAACAAAAGAGAGTAAGAAGAAAAATAATAGAATTCTATTTCTCTTTGGAAATAATTTTGCAAAGTGCACCGTTGAACTCTACCTTTTTCTTTTTCGTTTCGCTTAACCATTCATTACTTTACGGATTTTCACCATTTACGCCTTGGAATACTTTCTATCTCTTTCTATCGTGTTGATCGTGCAACACCAGTATAGATAGATCTAGGAGACTTTGAAAATATCTACAGTGGTAGTATATGCATAACACAACGTGTAGGTATATAGAAACCTACCGATTGATTTTCCTTTCCTTCATCGTACCTATCTTTACGTATGTATGCATATATATATAGATATATATATATGTATTTATGTATGTACGTATGTACGTATTTACTCGTCGACCCCCTTTCCTTCTCTTCATCAGGCTCGACCTAGACGCGAGAGACGAGCTCGTTTCAAGCTCGTTTCAAGCTCGCTTCAAGCTTGCATTTAATCGAAAACTCTGATCGAGATATATCTGGTGCAAGATACTACAACGCCGAATTGATAAAAAAAAGAAAAGAAAGAAAAAGAATAAAAGTAGAAAACCTTAAAAAAAAGGAAAAAGATAAGTCACGTGGGGAAGGATCCCTAAGAGACCTGAACGTTTATTCTCTTCCTAGCTTATTAAAGAACGTGAGTGAGAACAAAAAAATATATATAATATATAAATCTTTGAACTCTGGTATTGGTCTCTCGTAGTAACCCGTTAAAAATCTCGTTGAAATGTTGTGGTAAACGAAATAAAAGATAAAGTAAAAAAATGATATAGTAGTAGTACTAGTAGAAGAAAAATAAGAATGAAAAAGAAAAAGAAAAAGAAAAAGAATAAAAAAGAGAGAAAATGTTCATGGTAGCAGTAAGTTTCTCAGCACGCTCGCTTATCACTCTCAGAAATACGCAATCTGTGTAATAACAAATTCCCAGAGCAGCAGCAGCAGCAGCAGCAGAAGCAGTAGCGTTGGGTAGACCAAGGAAAGCCAGTTTTACTCCAGGTTCCTCTCCATCATTCGGTCCTGTCACATCGCCCATCCTTGGAATTTGGGTCACCTGCTTGAGGAGAGTACCGGAACACTGTCGGAAGATAGAAAGACGTGAAGGAAGAAGAAGAAGAAGAAGAAGAAGAAGAAGGGGGTTCCCAGTCTCGAATAAGGGTTGAGACCTGGGAATAAAACGTTCCTAAAACCCCCTTCCCCCTTCTCCCATTCTTAATTTTTTTTTTTCTTTTTATATTCTTTTCTCTTTCCATTTCATTTCATTCCATCACTTTTCATCCTTCCCTCTCTCTCTCTCTCTCTCTCTCTCGCGCGCTTTATTTTCTTCTCATATTATTCTTTCTCTTTATATATCATTCGATCCATTTGTTATGTTTCGAGGCCACAAGGAATATCAGAGGAATATTAAATCCAACAAACGGGTTGTGTTGTGTTACACTTACCGTCTAATTCAGTAACACAGTTCGTTTCACTAATTCATGGGTTTAGTCAAAAGGAGAATGAACTAGGATCACAGTTGGGAAACCTCAAAAGCACCAAATAGTACTAGCAATAGTAATAGTAGTAGTAGTGGGGTTGTTGCTGTTGCTGCTGCTGCTGTTGTCCAGTCAATTTTGATATTACTCCTTCTTCTTCCAAGGGTTGAGAATCTTTTGTGTATTTTACGATACGAAAGAAGTCCTGTAGAATAGAACTATAAACCAAGGAGTTGTCTCTTTCTATTTTTCTATTCTTTTTTTTTTTTTTTTTATTCTCTTCTGTGTTTCCCTTTCTCACTCTTTGTCTCTTTTTTTGTGTCTCTGTCTCCTCTGCTGTATCGATAGGAAAACCGATACCGCGTTCAAAGTCGATTTCCCGTAAATCGAAGTGCAATTCTTCTAGCGTGTTACGTCTGTGTATCTAGAGAGAAAGAGAGAGAGAGAAAGAGAGAGAGAGAGAGAGAGAAAGTATTCTTCTCGGAAATAAACTGCAATCGGTTTGCTAGAGTTCTGTAAAAACGATTGCTCTTACTAGAAACTCGTTGTTATTTAAATGAGAAGACACGTTGCCAGTATAGTACCAGTACTTTGCTTTCTCTATTGCAAACATTTCTTCCCTCCTCCCCCACCACCACCACCACCCTAGGTTCCCTCTATTATTCTTTTTTTCTTTCTACAGTCGAGAAAATAAAAAATAAAAATAAAATAACAATTTTACGGGTAAAAAAGACTTTGGCATTTTTATTAAAATGATCATTTGGAAAAAACATTTGTCTATTTGGTTTTATCGTAAATTGAATAATAAATCGGCTTTTGATTTTAATGAGAAGATATTATATCGTTGGTGTAGGGGAAGAATAGAGATTGTGATCTATGAATATGAGCTAATCGTTGAACGTAGCGTATTACGCACACGCTGAGTCGGTAAAGCGTATAATACAGGGGGATGATCTATAGGCGTCTCGTTGCAATTGGTAATACTGCATAGTGAGTATTACGAAAGCTTATCTATCCCTATTGCCGACGTTGTTATCACGTAATAGTATATTTGACGATATGTATTTTCATTATCTGGTAATATCCCCTCAAGCTTCATCCTAAGATTCAATCGTTCGTTATAATTAAACGTAGATATTTTTTTGTGTCTTTCACATTGGTTTTTTATATATCGTATTATTAGTTTTGAAAAAAAAAAAAAATTCAAATAAAATCTCGTTTTAAATATTTCCCCTTTTTTTTCTTTTTTTTTTTTTTCTTCGATGCACACACACGAGCGAAAAAAATAAGCTTCTTTTTGCTTTATTTTTATTGTATGTTGCTTTTTTTTTTTTTTTTTAATTTAATCTCCTCGACGAATAATTTCTCGTATCGTTTTGTTATATCGATGTTAAAGTTTTTTTTTTTCTTTTTACCGATATCGTTCAATTTGTTTCATTTTCATTTAATCGATTATTTTCACAACGATTGGTCGATCGTAGAAAGGTGTGGGATGTATCTTTGATGTCCAAATTTATAATAAATTTGATAACACACATTTCAAACCCTAGGCTTTGTGTCAAGCGTATAATATATCTCGATATCGCATAATGTTCGCAAACGTCGCAAATTGTTTTATCAATCTCGATCACGTTCTTCCCTTTTTCTTTTTTTTTTTTTTTTAAAAACAAATTTTAATAATCAATTATAAGATAATCGTATCATTTAAATAATTATCATTAATTTGAAAATAAAAACTTTGTCAAGTAATTATTCAAATCAAATTTCTTAACGACGAAATAAATGTCGAGATTTTGATTTAATATTTTCAATTGCATTGAAAGTAACGCTTTTAAAGATTATCATGTCAAAATGTTTCGTTTGCTATGAGAAATGAATAAAAGAAGATAAAAGATAGATAAAGATAGAATTATAACGTTAACTGTAGTTGTAATAATTATTTCATTAAAACCACCCCAATGCAAAGCTTTATTTTCTTCTTCTATTATCTGTATAATGATATTTACTTTAAGAGATAACTACTCGAGAAAGAAAGAAAGAAAGAAAGAAAGAAAGAAAGATGGTAAATGTAATTAACACGTAACTAACGGCATTTTCATTATACTTTCTAAACGTACTATACTCTTAAAATAATCTTTACGATCTTTTAAGCCTCACGAATTTGGCCCATTGAAAATTTACTTTCTAATGTAAACCTAATTATCCCTCTACCTCGGGTATGAATAATTTATTTTCCAATGTTCTACCCTTTCGCTTATTTTTCCCCACCGCTTATAATTCTTCAAGTAGTGAATAAAATTACAATTTCATTGGTACTCTTAATGATGTGAACGCCGGGACCGATTATTTATTATTTCTTAAGAAAAATATTTCTTAACTTAATCACAAAAGAATCAAGAATCCAATCCACAAAGAATAATACAATTATATCGTTAATTATTATTAATTATTAATCAATGAAACACACACACACACACACATACGTTGGAATATTATTAACGAACGACAATTATATTTGTCATTGATTTAATTACGAAACTTTATTTTTGTTTCAGAATCTTTAAGTGCAAACAGTGGACCGATTATCGTTGCGCCAGTTGGAAATCAAACTGCTGCTGTTGGAAGAGAAGTTGTTTTCTCTTGCAGCGTTCGAAACATCGGAAAGTATAAGGTAAAATAAATCCTAATCGAGAAGACATAAAGTACTTTAAAAAGAAATTATACTTATATACTTTATTAGATACTTATCTCTATATATAACCAAACCTATGATTCACCAACATCCAAATATTCTTTCTTCGAATCGATAACATTCTACCTAAAGTAATAGTTCAAAGTAGTTTCGCGGAAGGAAAACTCGACCGTTTGTGAGTTTTAATATCTTTCGAAAACGTTCTGAAAAGTTCACACCGTTGGAAAAGAATTTTTCTCGCGATAACTTATATATGTAGATCGGNCTCGATCACGTTCTTCCCTTTTTTTTTTTTTTTTTTTTTTTTTTATCTCTATCAAAATTTTCAAACGTATCGAAATTTCTATTTTATTTTTCAAACGAATAAATCTTACCGAGACGTCATAACTTTTGATCCGAATGTATTTTGGTTTTTTAATTACACCCCCATTATACATTAAGCTTTTTCAAACTTGTGCAAGTATCGCCGGATACGGAATTATGGAATTTTAAATTTATTCGCGGCCTGTAAAAATACGGAAAAACTTTCGTCCCCCCCCCACCCCACCCCACCCCACCTACACCCACCGTGGCCAATATTTTTCTTTTCTAATTTACTTTCCTTTTTTTTCTTTCTCTTTTTTCTCCTTTTTTTTCGGGAGGGTTTATTTTTCAACGAACTTTTGCAAAATTCTTATTCAATCTTGAGAAATGCATGACGTAATAATAACGCTTACTTACTTAAAGCTTTAGTAACAAGTGAAACGTAAACGTTAAAAAATCCGTAAACTAAACTTTCTAAAAAACTAACTACTCTTGTTCGTAGTTACAGGAAAGAAAATTACAGAAAGATAGAGAGAGAGAGAGAAAGAAATGGAAAAGGAAACGAAAACGTAAACTTAAACGTAAAGAAAATCTTGTTACAATCTTGTTAACGAGTTCTCTGTAATTTAAGTTGAATTATTTCTTATTTAAATTTATAGCAAAACTAGTAGAAAAAGAATATAAAATGTTCAAATGTTCGGGAAAAAAATATTTTAACATTTTTAATGTGCGATTTTATGATTTCGCTGAATGCTGCAAAAGCAGCAATCCTACGATGCATTTGAAATACATAACGCCGTTGACCGTTACTCGTTTAATTCCGTTTAATCTTATCTACAGTAATATAATATAATACACTCCCATGTTATCGTAATTTTATTTTCAGTAAAAATTGTTCGCATAGCGTAAGAAATGAAAAAGTACACATTTCAAATACTCTACTCTCGCGACGTTTGAATAATTTTTATTCCTTTTTTTCAATGTGTAGATTTCGATGTGTCCACTTTTTTTTTTTTTTAAAAACAAATTTTAATAATCAATTATAAGATAATCGTATCATTTAAATAATTATCATTAATTTGAAAATAAAAACTTTGTCAAGTAATTATTCAAATCAAATTTCTTAACGACGAAATAAATGTCGAGATTTTGATTTAATATTTTCAATTGCATTGAAAGTAACGCTTTTAAAGATTATCATGTCAAAATGTTTCGTTTGCTATGAGAAATGAATAAAAGAAGATAAAAGATAGATAAAGATAGAATTATAACGTTAACTGTAGTTGTAATAATTATTTCATTAAAACCACCCCAATGCAAAGCTTTATTTTCTTCTTCTATTATCTGTATAATGATATTTACTTTAAGAGATAACTACTCGAGAAAGAAAGAAAGAAAGAAAGAAAGAAAGAAAGATGGTAAATGTAATTAACACGTAACTAACGGCATTTTCATTATACTTTCTAAACGTACTATACTCTTAAAATAATCTTTACGATCTTTTAAGCCTCACGAATTTGGCCCATTGAAAATTTACTTTCTAATGTAAACCTAATTATCCCTCTACCTCGGGTATGAATAATTTATTTTCCAATGTTCTACCCTTTCGCTTATTTTTCCCCACCGCTTATAATTCTTCAAGTAGTGAATAAAATTACAATTTCATTGGTACTCTTAATGATGTGAACGCCGGGACCGATTATTTATTATTTCTTAAGAAAAATATTTCTTAACTTAATCACAAAAGAATCAAGAATCCAATCCACAAAGAATAATACAATTATATCGTTAATTATTATTAATTATTAATCAATGAAACACACACACACACACACATACGTTGGAATATTATTAACGAACGACAATTATATTTGTCATTGATTTAATTACGAAACTTTATTTTTGTTTCAGAATCTTTAAGTGCAAACAGTGGACCGATTATCGTTGCGCCAGTTGGAAATCAAACTGCTGCTGTTGGAAGAGAAGTTGTTTTCTCTTGCAGCGTTCGAAACATCGGAAAGTATAAGGTAAAATAAATCCTAATCGAGAAGACATAAAGTACTTTAAAAAGAAATTATACTTATATACTTTATTAGATACTTATCTCTATATATAACCAAACCTATGATTCACCAACATCCAAATATTCTTTCTTCGAATCGATAACATTCTACCTAAAGTAATAGTTCAAAGTAGTTTCGCGGAAGGAAAACTCGACCGTTTGTGAGTTTTAATATCTTTCGAAAACGTTCTGAAAAGTTCACACCGTTGGAAAAGAATTTTTCTCGCGATAACTTATATATGTAGATCGG